TGAAATATTATTTTGCTGAATTATTTATTCCTGAATATTTTTATAAGATTTTCGTACTCATTGATGATTTATGTTGGCATGAACCGTGAGCTCTTTATTGTGAAAAAATATTGTTGTTGAAGTATTTTGGCAAGTTAAATTATTTGAGCACTTGAGGTGCAAATTGTGATATATTGTGATGTTGATACGCATGCGGTGGTATAAGGTCTGGTATTGAAACGCATGCAGTGAGATAAGGGTGGCTTGATATGCGTGGCTAGTAGGGGGAACTACTAGAAGCCATGCGCTGTGATAAGGATGGTTAAAACGCGGGATGCTATTTCAGGAAAAATGTTTTCTTTAAAATAAATTGTGAAGGCTTAGATAAGGAAATGAGATATTGTGAATTTATTTATGATTTGGGACTACGAGGCGGTACCTCGGGAGTGCCCTTGTTGATATTGATTTATGGCCGCAATTGCCTTTGATTATTTGTTGTGATTTTTTTAAAGTTGAAAGGAATTATGTTTTGATTCCACTAGATATTATTTGCCATTATTTTGTGTAATTAAATGGTGACATGCTAATTGATTCATTTCCATTGTCATTTTATTTTATTATATTGTTAAACATTTTACCATGCAATTATTATTTTTCAGTAGGGTCTGACCTGACCTCGTCACTACTCTACCGAGGTTAGGCTTGGCACTTACTGGGTACCGCTGTGGTGTACTCATACTACGCTTCTGCACATCTTTTTGTGCAGATCCAGGTACTCCTTACCAGCCCCGACATCAGTGAGTTACCTGTACACGGAGATTTCGAGGTATATCTGCCAGCGTCCACAGACTCCGGAGTCCCCTTCTATCATTATTATGTTGCTTCCTTATTTTTCTTTAGACCTTGATATATATATATAGAGATATTGAAGATAAAATTCTTAGAAGCTTGTGACTTATTTCTACCAGGTTTTGGGAGTTGCAAATATTTAAAGTTTCAGATTTCTATTTTTATTCCGCATTGATAGGCTTATCTAGCCTTAGAGATTAGGTGTCATCACGACATCCTACGGAGGGAATTTGGGGTCGTGACAGTACATGACTTAGTGAATGCTAATTCTCACATTTATACTGCAGTTGGAACATTTAATGGAAGAAGGACAAAAGCAAACCTCTTCCTTCTGAATAGCATGATTGGAATTAATAGTTTCAACGGCTGAGAGAGGAATGTCTGCCAGCACTTCAACATCTGGTCCTACATCAAGGATTGCAGGAGCACGGATAAAAACAGCACGAAAACTTGGAGGACCACCTTCTTTAGCTACAATTTGAGGAATAGGAAGTTCTGTCTCAAAGCTTTGAATCTGTTCAATTGAAGTATACGGTAGTTAATAACACAAACCAACTTCAACTCATTCATCAAAATTTAGAGCCCTTTTTCCCTCTAGTTTGTAGCAATAACAACTACAGCTACTTCATCATATACAAAAAAATCCTGGGTTGGCTGATTTAGGATCTTGCAAAAGCTCTTAGTTATCGATAGACCGTCACATATGCCAGTTACCGGTTTGGGGTGGGATTNCCTCCCTCCCTCCAGCTAATACAAACATGGTACGAATGCTTGTTTATCTATACAAATGAATTTCCTCCACTATCTATTGAGACCTGGAGGAGGAACCACTCGTTTACCTGGCACTCAAAAAGTTTCGCTGAGCATGCTTACAATTCCATCCCTCCCTCCAACTACATAAAAATGGTATTAATTCTTATTTATCTATACGAATGAATTGCCTACTCCTTGGCTATCTATTGAGACCTGGAGGAGGCACCACTCATTTACCTGGCTCCCAAAAAAGTTTCGGTGGACGGTACAATCGAGGCCTCCAATCAGTTCCTGTCCTCCAGTTTTCTGCCCTGAGAAGAGAAGCCAAAAAATGTGACATGAGATCTTTTTCCCGCAACATGATAAAGAGCGTTAAGAGGGTATTGAAAAAGAATTTCTGATTACCAATCCACACAAAATGAGCTTTATATTATTTTGGCTGAGTGGAGAGGGTGCACATACTCTACAAGTGATTAGAATAACGAAGCAAAATAAATATTAAAAAAGGGACCACAATTTCTCAAAATTTGTGAAACTCAAAGGTGCCTTAGATTAAATTGCTTAATGTTAATGATATCTGGATAAGGCAATGCTTTATTCCTTTATGCATAAAATAGAAAGCTTTTCAAATGCTGCTCTCTATTGAGTCTAGCAATGAAAGAGAACACATAGTAAGGAGGTCTTATTAGACTGCAACAACTGAGCAGTAAAATCCTAGAAAAGTTCTAAGAGGGTAAATTATTTCCTGATACTTTCCTTCTCAGTGTAAATTAGGTTCAAAATGATACTCCCTTCATATTGACTTTATAGGGTGTTCAAAAGGCTAATTTAAGATTTGAACAGTTAAATGAATTTGAATTCTTGAAAGTTGCAGAAGTGGTTTAAAATACTAATATACGAAAGAACAAATAAAAGCAGCAGCCAACCCAAAAAAATGGATGACACGGAAGACATTTCACAACAAGGATTAGACATACGGATTATTTAAATATATGAATACATGACAGCAACAATTAGATAGCTAATTTTCAATGTGAATAAGCACAAATGATGCGAGAATATAAGAGTATGTGATGAATACAATAGGTAATATGCATAATTAGCATACCAACAGATCATGAGGTAACAAAAGACAGCTAATATGTTAACCACAGCAAGCAGCAAATCATTAACATGCTGAGATAGTGAACTCACATGAGAATGATCTTCCCTGGGGTATCTATCAACATAGTTCGAATGGTAGAACAAGGGAAGGTCAAGGCGTTCCTCTTGTTACTCTTTCCATGGCAAAGTCAGCATCTTAGTCCAAAGAGCAAGGATTTCTTCCCCTGCATCTATTGTTATTGATGTGTCCACTCCTTTTCTTTTTTTGGTCAAGACAATCCTCATTGACAGTCTGTTTTTTTGGGGGGGGATGTATCCACTCCTATAGACTCACTTTGGGTAAGAGTAAGATCAGTAGCCGATATCTCACATTTGGCTCCACAGAAGGATCCTTAGAAGACAAAACTCTTGTTTCTTTATAGCCGTGGTATCCGGACCAGCCTGCGTTCACCTCGACTAATTCCACAGGGTACCTACTACACCAGTATAGGTACCGGATAACTCTACCCACCAAGACTTGGATAGATGGGAAAAAATCTCCAAGTGTTTTTGCCTCCGCTATACAATCCATATCGACTTAGCTTATCCGATGAGGCACTTACATGCGAAAAAAATGAGGACCAACGAAGTTCATTGCATGTATGAAATTACACATGGATGGACTAGATTATAATGATTTGCCGCCTACGCAAGGGTCCAATGAGCAAGTATCCAGTAGCTTTTTCCTTCAACAACTACGGCCCGATCCTAAGCTAGTTGAATTCGGTTGTATCATGTATGGATCCTCATCCTCCACGTCGCTTCATTCAGAACAGTCTCAATCCAATAGTTAAACTTTTAGGTTCTCTAACACTAGAAATTTTCCCACATTTTCTACTGGCATACATATCTCTACAAGCTTAATAGACTCCTAGATGAACGTTGGACCTAAAATAACGTACTGACATTACTAAACCATAATCCCAAAATTGGTATCGCCTATGGCTATATGGATATTTTTCTTCCATTGTGCACTATTTTTTGTTGAGTCTACATGGATGTCAAGAGGTTTTAAGTCTTTCAAGACAACTTCCTTCCATGTAATTTTATGTCTATAACGACTCCTTTTAACACCTTGAATCACCGTGGTTTCAATTACAGAACCTCAGTAGCTTTTGTGTTCCAGACAATAAAAGAAAAAGTTTTGTGCTTTATGGTGAAACACCTTTTTGTGAATTGATGTGAATAGTTACTATTTCAGTAGTGAATATCAAAAGAATGAGTCACTATCTTTCTTCTTTGTGTGGAGAATCTAGTTAAGAGACGGTTGAATCCTGGAAAGTCTATCAGAACTGCTGAGAATTATATGCCCCCCTATATTAGAATATTTTTCCCATACTAATATAATTTGTATCAAGCTACACCAAAAGAGTGACATGATAGTCTGTCATTCAATACATTTCAGATTCATTTTTAAAGAAAAATTATATACTATTCTCAACTTTAGAGATATTTAATAAAGTTTAAAATTTCTGTTCAATCTTCAATACCATCTCGTAGTCAAAATAGGATGCTTATCTTATGAATTTCTCACGGTGGAAAGCCAAAGGGTGGTTGAAAGGCTGTCAATCGAGTAGGACTTTGCTGATGAATGAGTTAACCAGATCAACTAGCTTTCATGTGATATTATAACAAAGAATAGCACTAATATAGATCTTTAAAGAGGAGAGAAAAATATCCTCGACTAAAAAGCTTTGTTTACTCATACCGTTAATGTAATTCCTATGGTTTTTGAGCATATGTCAATTTCAAACCTACAGATGCAAATGGCTAATATATAGACCATGAAATAATTTTTTTTTAAATAACGACCCCTTGGCATTATGAGATTAAATCAAGAAGACAAGCAACTTAACAGCTTGCAAAAATTGCCCTACAATGTACATCAAGATATGGAGTTGAACACGCACCAGTTGCTTTATTTGCCAAGAAAATGAGGCCTGCACATGTCCCCCATACTGGCTTCCCCAATTGAACAAACTCGCGCAAAGCAGGGAACTGCAATTAGAGACACGATTAAACTAACATGGAGAAAAATTATACCAAGCTCAATAATTTATACCAATTGGTACAATTATGCACTTATACATCCAAAGATACACTAAGATACCCCAACAAACAATGCAACAACAAACAACTAATAAAATCACAATTTATTCTGTACTGACAGTAGGAACAAGTGTTCTTTTGATAAGGACACGAGGAACAAATATCAGTAATTAACAAACAAAGCCACACTATAAGTAGGTTCAAACACAAATGCAATCCTTTTATTTTACCTTTGTTGAATAAACAACATAAAATTAGTAAAATTCAACCTTTTGTACTCAATACTTCTCAAAATGCTCCAAAATCAAATTCAACAATAATAATTCCTTAGTTTGTCAAGGTTTCATTCAATCCTTCTGCTATTCCCCAATCTCGAACTAGCTGGTGCATGTGATGCGAATTCTCTAAAACTAAAATTTCCCTAAATCTCACCTCTTTTCCCTAAAGAGCCAAAAGATTCTCCATTCCTATGCTGGAGCTTGAAACTACTAGTTAAGGGTGCAAGGAATCGAACAATTCCACCACACCAGGGGCGGAGTACCAGTAACTTTGGTCCAAACTTTGTATTTTTCGTAAGACATTTATTTAATAGGCACAAATGATTAATTTAGAACCCAATTACTTAAAAAGTGCTAAAATACTGAACCCATAAGTGTCAAAATCTGGCTCCGGCTCCACACCACTTTGTCGTCCCTAAATATCACTCTTATTACTACACCAACTTACAATTCTCAACTATGCCGCCCAATTAACCATGGTTCAATAAACACCCAGACAAAACAACGAGACATGTCTTTCACCTATTAATACCAATGTATGACGATGCCAATGCGTTGTCAATAAAAAGAAACTATCACAGACACACACACACACAGAGACAGAGAGAGAGAGAGAGAGAGAGATGCCAGATTGTGGAGCTCGGCCAGCTTAGCCATGGTAGTGCTCTCACCACCAGGGATGATAAGGGAGCTGACATTCTGCAACTGTTCTGGTTTCCTCACCTCCACCCCTTTCACTCCCAATCTTTTCAATGCTACACAAAGAGCAACACGTAAATAAAGTCAGTAACTTTTGCTAAGAAAAACAAACAATCATACAAAATTAACCACAAGGAAAATGAGTTACAGAGAAATGAAACCTGCGATGTGTTCGTTGAAAGATCCCTGTAAAGCAAGAACACCCACAACCATTTTTACAAAAGAGTGGCGGCTGGGGAGATTTTGGGGTAAGGGAGAAAAGGATGGGAGTGTTAACAAGAATGACAACAGTCGTGTCCTGCTTTGCTTCGCTGATATTATATCAAAATTGGGAACATAAAGATATCAGATTCTAATTGACTCCTAAAACGTCAGCATTGCACTTACTCTTATTTCTGTTGGCGGGCAGGAGGCGGCCACCTCTGTTCACTTTTTTAATATCGAGACATTTTATTTTTATTTTTTATATGAAATTCTTGGAGTACTTGAATCACTTTTTTTTAATAAATAATTTAGTAATCGAAAATTCAGTAATTTCATCTTCTTCTTTTTTTTTTTTTTTTTTTTTAGAATCTGGAAATTTTATTAGGACATACTAAAATCGAATTTCACTAACTTCTACTAAAAATATGTGTAACGACCCGACCACTCATTTTGAGCTCTAGCGCGTCAATCTGCGGTTTGAGGCCTTGAGTAGCACTTCAGGTATTATGACTTATACGTGTGGTCGGAATTGAATTTCAGGAAGTTCGGAGTTGATTTGGAAAGAAAATTCTAAATTCGAAAGTTTTAAGTTAGAAGGGTTAACTAAGGTTTGACTTTTGAGTAAACGACATCGGAATAGGGATCTGAAGGTTCCAATAGGTTCGTATCGTGATTTGTGACCTGTGCGTAAAGTTTGGCGTCATTCCGGAATGCTTAAGTGTAATTCGAACGCGTTCGACGAAGTTTGAAGGTTGAAAAGTTGGAAGAAAGGTTTTTGGCCGTTGATTCAAAATTTTGATGTTGTTTGACGTGATTTGAGGCTTCGACTAAGTTTGTATCGCGTTTTGGGATGTGTTTGTACGTTTGGATGGGGTCCCGAGAGCCTCGGGTTTGAAACAGATTGGAATTCGGATTTGAGGAGATGATGTCGATGCTGAAGACTAGTGTAATCGCACCTGCAGAAGGAGTGGCCGCAGGTGCGGTCACGCAGGTGCGTATGGGGTCGTCGCATGTATGATTTTCGTGAAGAAGATCTGGGGACACAGTTGCGGGAGAAATTCCACACCTGCGAAGTTGCAGCGAAGAAGGGGTCGCAGAAGCGGTGCTGGGTTAGAGGTTGTGGTTGCGCAGGTGCGGGTTGTTGGTCGCAGAAGCGGGAAGGGGCCTTAGGCTAAAGGAGCGCAGAACCGCAATGATGGCTCGCACCTGCGTTTGCACAGAAGCGGACATTCTGCCGCAGGTGCGATGGAGCAGCCGGGCAGTGCACTTCGCAGAAGCGAGCTTTTCCTCGCAAAAGTGAGATCGCATGTGCGATAAATTCGTCCGTAGGTGCGAAAGTCGTTGGGCAGTGATGTGTTTCTAATCCGAGACTTAGCCCATTTCTCTCACATTTTCATTTGGTTGGGTGATTTTTGGAGCTATTGGAGTGGAGAACTTCATCATCTATTGTGAGGTAAGTTATTCCCACCTATTATAAGTTAAATACATTGATTCTATAAGGATTTAAACATGGAAATTAGTAAATATTTGGGATTTTGGTGGAAAACCTAAAAATTGGTATTTTTGGATTGTGACCACGAAATTGGACATGAAATTTGAAATAAATCATATATTTGAGTTCATGGCGTCATGGGTAAAGTTTATCTTCGAAGATTTTCAAAATTCGGGCACGTGGGCTCGAGGGTTGACTTTTCGAGCGGAGTTGGGAATTACTATAAATTGATTAATTATAAGTATTGGAGTATATTTTGATTGATTTGCACATTGTTTGACTAGTTTTGGGTCATTTGGCTTTGAGTTGAAGAATTTGAGAGGCATTAGAGCCAGTTATGGAACTTCAAAGCGAGGTAAGTCTCCTATCTAACTCTGTGAGGGGGAAACTACTCCCTAGGTGATGTAATTTGTTATGTGCTATTAGTTGTGGGTGCTACGTACGCACGAGGTGACGAGAGTCCGTATGTAGCTAAAGCATGTTTATGTCCGAGTATATATTAGGCCGAGCCTTATTACCTTGAGTTGTTGGCAAGTTATTTGAGAAACGGTAAAGGTTATACTCACCTTGTGTTCATATACTGTATCGTAAGCTCGTGTCTCGTAATTCGATAATTCCTTTCCTTTCTTGTGAAGCGAGTCGAACGCCTCGACGGGATTATGTACCACACTCTCATGGGGGCGGGCCGTTTGCCTCGGTAGTATAATAGATGCATCTAGGGTTCATACCGCTCGACCCTCGGCATTGTACACGTTATGATGGGATCGGGCCGATCGTCTCGGCAGTATCATACTCCTTCTGAGATCTCGCCGTATGACCTCGGCATAATCGTGCGTTATATCGCTAGCAGCCCGAATATTCGCGAGATTTTTCTTCCACTGATGCCTTGCATTTTATATGAAAATTTTTATCCGTTTGTTATTGGCACTTGATATTTCCGAGCTGTTGAGATAGAATACGAGATTGAGAGATTGATATCGTTAAAAGAAATTTTGGAAGATTGTGTTAGTTACAGATTTACCTCACTATTATTTTTGTACTCTTATCTATTTATGATTTACTATATTGATTTATTGGACTACTAGTAAGTGTCAATGTCGACCCCTCGTCACTACTTCTCCGAGGTTAGGCTAGATACTTACTGGGTACGCGTTGATTTATGTACACATGCTGCACTTCTGCACTAAATTTGCAGGATCTGATAGGTTCATTTAATGATCATCTTGGCGCATAGGCGCAGCTGTTGAGGAGACACCAGGCTATGCATCATAGTCCATAGAGTCTCCATCGTCCTATTTATTTTTTTCTGTCTTATTTACATTCTAGACAGAGATTGTATTATTATTGTACTCCTTAATAAATGCTCATGCACTTGTGACACTGAATTTTGGGGGTACCTACTGGGTGTTCATTATTGTAGTTCGCGTAATTATTATCATTTTACATTGTAATTTATACCTTATACGGAAACTAGAAAATAAAATCACGGATTTTCTATGAGTAATAGATTTTACACTACTTATTCAATGGGATTCATGATTTCGAAAATAATAAAATGAGCAACTAAGTTGATTAATCGCCGTTGGCTTCTCTGACGGCGACGTTAGGCGCCATCACGACCTATAGTGGATTTTGGGTCGTGACAGCTTGGTATCAGAGCTCTAGGTTCACTTGGGTCTCAGGAGTCATGAGCAAATCTAGTAGAGTCTTGCGGATCGGTACGGAGACATCTGTACTTATCTTCGAGAGGCTACAGGGCTGTTAGGAGTACTCTCCTTCTTGATTCCTCATTGTGCGATTTGATTCCTTTGAGGCTTATGCCTTTATTTTCTTCCTACTCAATCTTATGCGGTGGGGGTGCTTGTTATCAATTGGTCATCGATGAGTTGTGGTGGTACTGTAGTCGTGGTGCAGGATATTTTTTCCTGCATATTCGAGCGGGCTATTATCGTCACCTTGCGGAATAGTGTTCTGTCGTTTCAGGCCAGTATCTGTATTTCCTATGGTTTCGAGGCTATGTACGGATTATTATGAGGTTCATGCATTGTTATCGCAAAGTGTTGGTAATGGTAGGGTGGTTGTTTATGTGTCGAGGCAGTGAATGACTTGAAAGAAAGGTTTCTCAGTGCACGATTTAGAGGTTACACATTTAAATCCAGCGGATGAAAGGCAATCAGACTATGGATGTTCAGGCTATGGGTAATTGAGTAATGTCACGACCCAAACTCCCTTCATATAACGTCGTGATGGCACCTAGTCTCTACGACTAGGTAAGCCTAACAAATTACGGGAAATAAACAAACGAAAGTAAAACTTGGCCACTAACAACAGTGGATAACTGAATAACTAGTAACAATGTCGCTTTGCATGTACAATAACCAATACTCTATAAATACACAATTTTTCCAAAACCTGGAACATCATAAGTCACAAGCTACATAAGAAAATTAACATCTCTATACACCAGAGTCTAATAAAAGGAATACAGAAAGTGTTTGACATAGGGGAGAATAGAGGGGGACTCCTATATTTGCAAACGCGACAGATGTACCTTGAAGTCTCCGTACACCAACAAGCACTCTCAGCTAATAGCGGGGCTGATCAGAAGTACCTGGATCCGCACACAAAAAATGTGTAGAAGAGTAGCATGAGTACACTACGACGGTACCCAGTAAGTGCCAAGCCTAACTTCGGTCGAGTAATGACGAGGCCAAGTCAGGCCCACTGGTAAATAATAAATAAGGCAGGAGAATGTATACAGTATAATAAGAGACTAGAATTTAACAAAAAGAAACACAGCAAGGCAACAATACAACACACAGGGGTAGATAGCAGGGGATCTCCCGAGATACCATCTCATAGTCCCAAAATAAATATGCAGGGAGAACTCCTGAGGTACCGCCTCGTAGTCTCAAAAGTAAATATACAGGGAGAACTCCCGAGGTACTGCCTCGTAGTCTAAAAAGTAAATATACAGGGAGAACTCCCAAGGTACCGCCTCATAGTCTCAAAAGTAAATGTGTAGGGAGAACTCCCGAGGAACCGCCTTGTAGTCTCAAAAGTAAATATACAACTCAAACCGATAAATACAACAGTTAACAATAAGATTTCTACAGTTATACTGATAATGAACAAGGAAAAATAGGAAATTAACTAGGCATGCTTCACAGAGTTCAAATAAGCAGTTAAAGCACATAAACATGCGATATTAGACTAAGCAGGATAACTACACATACTGGAATAGCTCAATTAAGAATGAAAACAAACTAATACTCATTTAAACGGTATAACTCAAATAAAAGGGAAAATAGGTTGCTACTCAGTAAAATAAATCCGGTTTTACAACAAATAGCCCGTGTACGTACTCGTCACCTCACGTACACATCGCTCACATATCACAACAGTACCAAATCCTAAGGAGATTTCCCCCACACAAGGTTAGGCAAGCCACTTACCTTGAACCAAGCTCAATCAATTAGTAACAATGCCTTTTTCACGAATATCCGACTCCGAATGGCCCAAATCTAGCCAAAATCAATTACATACCATAAATACAACTATAAGAAACTAATCTAATTAACAAAATCAAAGGTAAAGCAAGAAATTAGAAAATCGCCCCAAAAAGTCGACCCGTGCCCACGTCTCGGAA